TTCCCTTTTCTGTTTAATGAACAATTGTCATGATAAATACCCCAGCAACGCGGAGCCTTCAACTTGTGTTAAATAAATACTAAACTAACCCATCACAACCCACACCTAACAAACGGAGCAGAAATGTAAAGCTCAAAACGCTAAGGATGCCCATTTATAAAAACGAAAATACTATTGTACTAAACCCTTGAAAGACCACACGGCCGAACAAGAAGTAAATAAATGTTTAAAAAATTCCAATCCCCAATGGTCTTATATGTTACCACCATAGGGGATTTGTGCTGGTAATATTGCAATTTCAAAATTATAAAGAAAAATACTTGCAGGTATGAATGATGCTCAATGATTAGAATTTAGTTCAGCTAATTATTTTCGTTTTTTGCTAATAGGCATAAAATGCACATTAATGATCTATAAGTCCTTCTATATGCTCTTCAGCATCATTCTCTAATAAGGTAATTCTCAGTTCCGAATATTCTGTTGCAAAATCTTCTACAACTACATTTTATTCTTCCCCAGATTTGCTTAACACTTCCATATATTTGTCCCCTACATAAATCTATTTAGATTGCGATGGTTTAATTACCGGTAATTAATTTACTCCTAAAAGGTAAGGAAGCTCATAACGCGACTTGGTTATTCTCCAACTCGGATTGAATTTTCAAAAAGGCTCAATTCGGGAACTTATTTTTAATTTTTTCCGGGAATTTGAGGGAGGTTAAATTGAGATAGGGAATATAATTTGCTGGAGATCTTTGTAAGGAATGGAGTTATGAATGGGATATTTACGCAACGACAAATTTGAAACAAACAATGGGGCACTTGTAATTCTTATAAATTATTTGATTTGGAGTTTCTTAAAGTTAGCTCTCGAAGTATTTAACCAGGTTGGGCATTCATAAAGTTTGATAATGAGTTTTGCAAAGATCTACTGCATTGTTCAAAGAAATTCTACTTTTGAAATTAATACGTTATTTCAAGTGGAGAATCTTTGCCGTTAGTTTTGAATTTATATAATCTTCCCACTGTAGCTTCGTATAAAGATTTCGTCCTAAGTATTTGATGGTTTGATGGGGTGGAGTTAATGGGTTAGGAATGAAAGAGGGAAGGAATCCGAGTTACTGATTTGCAGGGATAATCATTTGTGAGAGAGTAAATATTTGCATTAGATTTTGAGACATGCATTAGATTTTGAGACATGCATTAGATTTTGAGACATGCATTAGATTTTAGCTGAAGGAGAAAGCCAAGCAGGCTGCACCCGCTGGAGACCCCGCGAGGCCGAGCGTGTGAACGCCGATCGGCCCCGGAGCTAGCAGTGGTTGGCATGTGTTACGTGCCGGCATTGCTGAGGCGCCGCCGCGTCCCGAGCTCTGCCGTTGGCTGGTGCCGCCGGCGGCGCCGGAGCGCGGCGGACGGCGCACGCGGACCCCACGGCGCCGAGGCAGCCCGTTGGAACCGCGACACATGAGGAGCGGCAGGCGGCCGGCAGCGGCCGCTTGCGGCAACGACCGCCCGTTTCAAACAACTGAGTTGAAACCTGCACACCCCATTGCAGGCGACAGCAAAGAGGCGGCCGCCCAACTGTCCGACCCAGCCCACTCTGCTTCTTCACCACCAAGGAGCAGGTCTCATATTACTTGTCAGATGTTACCTAGAGCCCATGTTTCTCAATACTAATGCATTGTCGTCAAATTCTTTAATGCATGTCTCAAACTTCCTAATGCATGTCTCAAAATTCTAATGCATGTCCTCAAATTTCTACATGATAGCTCCCTCAAATCTAATGCATGTCTCAAACTTCTAATGCATGTTCTCAAATTCAATGCATGTCTCAAATTCTAATGCAATGTCATCAAATCTAATGCATGTTCAAAATCTATATGCATTGTCTCAAAATCTAATGGCAGTCTTCAAATCTAATGGCATGTCTCAAAATCTAATGCATGTCTCAAAATCTAAGCATGTCTCAAAATCTAATGCATGTTCTCAAAAATCTAAGCATGTCTCCAAAATCTACATGATGTCTCAAAATCTAATGCAGTCTCAAA